GGATAAAAACAACCCCGAGGATCGCTCGAAAAACCGAACTTGATCAAAGGAGTAAAAAAAAAATATTTGGGAGACAATGAAAAAAGGGCAGCTGGTTAAATGCGGAAGGGTTGTCGATTAGCATAAAGGACCCGATTACACGCGTACCTATACACACGTATGTGTGTATATATGTATATATAGGTACGTGGTTGAGTGTTGAAATTTCTACCCCACACAGGAAGCAACCGCGTGGCGACGTTTGTGTTTTTCATTTCTTTAACCGGCAAGAAAACACACACGGTTGTCAACAAGACAAAAAAAGGGTATAGAGAAAAAATTTATTAGAAATCTGCCTTCACGCACGAGCCTACATTTATCCCCATTAATAAGGGTAGTTACCTATGTATGATAAGGTGCCACGTGGGATTTTATTCTCGGTTTGGGTCTAATGAGGCAAATGAAATTTTTGAAAAGTTTTTATCTATAACCCTTTTTCTTTTTTATTAATGGTCATTTTTTATATACACAAAAGATTGTTGTTATTATTATAGTTTTATGTGAGCTTCTATAAATATTTGTCACATGTTACGTTTCTTTTGTTTCATTGAATCGCTAATTCTTCTCAAGTTTATTTTCATGAAGTCGACGGTCCCAGGTCGTATTGTCGCCAAAGTGATCTGGTTGGAAAATTACTGGTATATGTAACCCTGAAAATAAATCAAATTTCAAAGAGCGAGGGAGAGAAAAAAGGAGTAAAATACGTGTATATCGAAATCCAATGACAATGTGTGGAGAAAAAAGGCAAAAGCACTGCAACGTAAGAGGGTGACCAAAAATTGTCGATGAAGTTATAAAAGTGGGAATCCAAACGAATCAACCCCTATGGTATAGAGAAGCGTACGCCACAAAATAGACACGGGGATGAAACGTGGCAGTGGCCTTTTGAAAAAAAAATAGGGGCGGAATGAAATAAAAGGAACAAGTGAAAGATGGTCGAACTTAAATGACAAAGTACATTATTTATGTCTTACAGGCTGCGACACAATTTGGATGCAGTCGGCAAATCCCAAATTCGTAAACCTTTGTGATATCAATTAGTGGTCAATTTGTAATAGGAAAACCATGAAAAAATCTTTTAGAACACACATACGATAACCAAATTATTATTTTATGGTTGATGTATATATGTATATACACGTAACTGCTGTTGGCATAGGAACTACTATGGGAACAAGTATTTTTGAAAGAGTCAAAAGTCGTTGAGATTTTTTTTAAATCGCTAACGAAGGTTCCTTGTGAATTCCGGAAGACATAGTTTGCATTTGATTGACGTCACCATAAGCGGAAACTAGTTTGCCGGCAGCTATAGCCGAGCAGCTACAAGTACCGTGTACGGGGGTCCCTTTTGGATATCGAGAACTTTGGACAAGGTAGGAAGAGTCAGAAACGAGGAGAATAAAAAGATATAGAGAGTGGAGAAAAATGACGAAATAGAAAAACGTCCGTTACGTAGAAGCCAGAGAGACCGGTTAGCCATACCAAAGGTAAATTCAAGGCCGATCCGCAAATTATACGAATCGCTCAAGAAACCCATATGGTTTTAGGTCTATGAATCGCACAGGAATGAATCGACTTCGAGTTCATTTTACAGAAAATTTTTTTGATCTGCTTTTTTACCCATTTTATTTTTTGCATTTCACCAAATAAATCCACCGAGAGGAGTAACCAGAGAACGAAAAAAAAAAGGAATAAAACCACTCGCGAACGCCTCTTTCTGTGTCAAAATCTGTAACAGGAGAAAGAAAGGCGCTCGTTAAATTACAACAGTTAGTGAGTCGATAGGTGTATTCTCTTGGTTTCTCCCTAAAGAGAAAATATCGACGGGAGTGTAAAGATGTGAGAAAAAAATATTTAAAAAAATAAATAAAAGAGGGTGAACAGCGAATACTGGGTGGCAGAGGTGGCCATGTAAACTCACTCGTAGACGCGTATGCATACGAATGAATTCATACGTCAATCAATGATAGGCATTTCGACAGGGTCTTCTGGTTGGTTCGTTGTGAAAAGCCCCCGGGCGAATTTTCCAAAAAATTTACGTACTCATTCACGCGAGTCGTGGGCAAAAAAATGTCGAAATATGCTGCGTGTGTTTACCTATTTCTCTTTCAGCTTTTTGACTCGAGTCGTCAAGAGCAGATTTTTTGCAGCAACCGTCATGCATTGTTAACGTCACTCTTATTCCTCTCGATTCGGCAATGCTTTATGTCTTCTTCTGTTTCCAATGCATATTGAAAAAAAAGCGTAGAAAGTTCGATCGAGTGAGAATTCGCTGATCAATCCAATAGAAATGTGGTATAAGGTAAAACGAAGGGACAATCTGAAAGATGCCGGGGATCAGTGAACTTTTAAAAATAATAAGATAAAAAAACATTGGAAAGAGAATGGATACGAGAGGATGAAATTTTGAGAAAATGGTCCTGGGGTTAACTGGGAATTCCCAGGATTGGGAAATCAGTGAGCAGTTTCTACAGACGTATCGGGAAGGAAGAGGAAGAAAAGGAAGAGAAGGAAGAAGAAGAAAAAGAAGTATTCGTTGGTTCTCGGTCGCCCGGGATCAGAATACATTATGTAACTCTTGCTTTGGCCTTTCTGACTCACCCTTAGAACCTTATATCCTAACGTAGCTCAGGTCCTTCATCCCTCTGGGCTGGATTGAAGGTCCACCCCACCCAGTTTTTGTCCTCCTTCATTCCTGGTAGCAGCCAGTCGGCCCTGTTCAGTTCACCCGTCTGTTCCACGCGCCTGAGAGGGCCTACAAAAGGAATTAGAATTCCGGGCAAGGCTCAAAGACTTTTTAATTAAATTCGAAATTGAAGAATGACCGGCTACTGCTTGGTAATATTTTAGAGGTCGTTCAATTATCGCACTTCCTTTTTTCGAACGTAGAACTGTAATTATGAGGCATTTATCGAGAATTTGTCGGTGGCGCCATCCGCCGAGAAATGTCGAAGCTTGAGACATTAGAGGTACTTTTTGAATGGCTTTGATAACATCAACGTAAAAATTAATACACTTTTGGAATCTTAATTGTGTATCGCGTGGCAGGCGTGTGTCTGTCTTTTACCCCTAAAATCATCCCTCGCGTGATAAACTCTGTAAAATACGTTGAATCGGCTGGTATGTGTTGTTGATTTTTTTCTTAGCTTTTCTTTTTTTCGGGAATTTGTAGACAGGAGGACAATGCCTATGTATGGAGTACAGATAGGCTGTATTCAGAAGTGGTATTGTTCAACCCCAGCAGCAGTTTCCGAATACGGGAAGCAACCCCACTCAGTACTAAATCGGTGGGCCACGATCGCAGCTTCATATATATATTTTAGGGTGAAAACATGCGAAAAAACTGAAACCGAAACTGGGGTGCTGATCGAGATGATGGGTGGGTCGACCATCAGCCGGCGGATGATTTTTTCATATCTTTTTTTTATCCAATCAATATACTTTCTACAAGCCTGCACCCCGATTGTAGAAAAAATTAAAAAATATTTTCAAAAGTTTACTTAGAAAAATTAATTTAATTACTTCGCTCCATTAATCAATCTCAAAAACATATTCCATTTTATCGAAACCCAAATATCAGAATCGATATTAAACACAAATTTCTACAGAGCGTCGATGACTTATATCATTGGTTTCAAATGTAAATGTCGTCTAGATAAAAATCTTTCAGAAAAAGCACGAAGGAGAAAACTTGGAAACGTTTTGACACGCATCTTTTTTTAATTTTATTTTATTTTTTTTTCTTATTGAACGCATGTCAGTAACTGACGGTCGGGCCTGTCGTGCCGTCGGAAGATTTCCGATTATAGAGACGCGAGTTTTCGGTGCCGTCGCCATTATTATCGCGAGAGACATTTTATTCAAAGTTCGTAGGCATTGTGATGGGCGCCGGCTCGGGCCGGTTGATATTTCCAAGACCGGTGAATGCGGGATGAATATCAGGCTGTCCGCCGAGTTGGGCATTATATCACTTTCGCATTTATAAAGCTGTCAGTGTCGGCCCGCCAGCCATTATGAAAGGGGTATTATGCCTTGATAATAGAGACGCTTCGCATTGGATTCATCCCTTCGTATAAACGAGCGCCAATGAAACAGGTAAGCTTAGGTCCACCAATGTGGTTATAAAATTGCAAATCAAATAATATTATCCACATATTTAACTCAATTAACTAAACTTGATCTATTTAATTAATGCTGTAGAAATGATAGTCAAAACGAGCAATCTTTCCAAACACCGCAGTACTAACAAATTAACAAATCACAGTTAATTTTTAATAGTCACTGTTTACGTTTCAAATTCTACTGATTATAGTATCATAGGACTGATATTGATATCTTACCAAATAACACTACGCAAGCTTTAATCAAGTTATCGCCATGACCATCAATTCCAATTAGGCAATTTATCAGCGTGCCATTTGCAATGCTTACGAAAAAGTATCTGATAACGAATTCGCATTCTGTGACGTTTGGTTTTACATGATCGAAGGGAGATAAGCGCTTGGAAAGACACGTTGGAGAATAATGATAACTAGGGATATTCAGTGGATCGTAAGATACAATTGACATTAAAGAGCATCGAGTTTATTAATGATAAATCGAGTAGCAGGATAGATTAAATGGAAAATAAGGATAAGGTACGATTAGAATAAAAAGTACGATTCTCTGAAATATTTTAAGCGGTCAGTTTTAATTTTCCTTTCAATAAATACAATTAATTCACTAGAAGTTAGCGGCGCTGATATAAATAAATTGTGAAAATGTATGTTATAACCTTCAGACCATATATCTTAACTTTTTAGGAATATTTATTTTAGATGATAAAATATTATTACGTCACACGAGTTCGTAAATACATGTGGATATATGTAAAATTACAATAGAAGGACTGTTGTATAGTCGTCGTTAATTGAGCGCTGAATTATTATAACGTCATAACTTTTAGAACAAAGTTTTGACACGCTCAAAGATAACTAATTAAACAACAAATTTGCAACTTCGTATTTTAAACCATCTAAAGAAAATTATCTTAACAGTATACTTTGTAAATTAGTCAGTTTCTTTTTTTCTTGTGCTTTATCCTGTACTGGAGGACAATTTACTACTGATATTAAAAAGAAGAGTGTGTTACTACTTAGGATACTGCTGATATTCCTAAAACGACTTGAAAGCGAGATCGTTTCAATGAAGGATAGTTTTCAAGTGGTTTAGGTATAAATATTACAAAGGCAAATAATAATAATTACAAGATCATTAAGTATCAGTAATAATAATATCCGAGTAGTCTCATATCATAATTATACTTCAGTAAATGCGATATTAGTCAATTCACTACTTTCGAGTCGGGGACGATATTAGTAAGTCTTATGTCGCCATATTAGTGTAACATTCGCAACCGTAATAACGGATTAAACGCCATTTTGTACAGTCGCGAGATACTCGTTGTATTTCTTCTCTTGTGCCTGTTGCAATTTTTGAAGTTTCTTTAACTGACCCTTGCTAATTTCCTTACCTTCGACGTCGTGCGTCGGTATACCCTGGAATGAATATGAAGTAGTTTTAATAATGACATATTAATATTAGTTGCGATAAGGAATTTGATTCATTGAATCAGTTTGAACATACCTTATCATCGAACTGGGAATATTTATCTTTTTCTAGTTTGAACATTTCAGTAGGAGGAATTTTTCTCTGCGCTTCTTTGGCTGCCTGCGCGGCTGCCGCTTCCGCTTTCTTCCTTTCCTTCTCTGCAGCCTTTTCGGCTTCTTGTCGTTTTTTCGCTTCCTTCTCTTTTAGCAGGATTTCCTTATCGATTAATTTTACTTTGCATCCATCACCATCCTCATCCTCTAGTCGCACACCCACGCTTGGCAAGATGTCGTCACGCAACCTGTCGCACTCCTTGAGGATTTCATTGGCTTTTAACGTCTTGGCATGCGCCCTTACGCTCTCACGGAAATCGGCAAGTATATTTAGATAAGGCATTACAGTCTCTTCAACCTAAAAATTAAAAAAATATATATATAAATTTGCAATGAATTTGTGTGTTATTGAATATTCGGTGATTAAAAAAAATGACACCCACGTTTGTAGTTGCAGTCTCGTTACCAATTGGGAAACCGATTGTATCATGAGGCGTAGAAATTGCACCGAATATAATTAACATTCTGGTAATGTAAACAGCAATATCTCGTAGCAGCAGAGTGTTTGGGTTTTCACTTTCTCTTATGTATATATTGGAATTCGTGACGAGATCTCTTATCGCTTCGAGCGCACCTCTCGTGTCAATGTTGTCTGCAAATGTAGTAATAGTTGAATATTAATTTAATTAAAACTTGATAAAGTCAGGCTAATTAAACGTATTTCAGTATTGGTACAAACATATACTCACCACATAGAGCAACATGCACAGCATCCTTAGCAGCGCAGTATTTTTTATGAAAATCTAATTCAAGCTTGTTCCATTTACTAAAGGTATCTATGGTTGTGGCTGTACAAAGACGCCTGATTCTGCATTTTATGTTCAAAAAGAATTCCTGAAAAGAATGTAAGTAATCTCGGATTACATCGTTGTGTGAAAGTTGGACATTTTGCAAAAAGAAATGTCAATTTCTGTAACATACATTCAGGAACTTTTCATACTGAACGGCCAAGTCCATCGTATTATCACTGTAGTCCAAGGTATCTTTCCATGAGTGTAGAAGAAACGCAAGTCTTAGTTGTCTTGCTGTATGCGTTTTCAATGCATCTTGTATCGTGATAAAGTTTTTCAAGGATTTGGACATTTTGCAACCGGATATCGTCAAATGGCCGGAATGAAGGAAATATCGGACCCAATGAGAATTATCAAAATATGCCTCAGCCTGTGCTAATTCGTTGTCATGATGTGGAAACTTCAAATCCACACCTCCTGTATGAATATCTATACTTTCTCCGCAGATAGCTGATGCCATTACGGAGCATTCGATATGCCAACCTGGACGACCTTTACCCCATGGACTATCCCACCAGGGTTCACCAGCTTTTGAACACTTCCATAGAGCAAAGTCTGTCAGTGATCTTTTTTCTGATAGTTGGTCCTGTGATATGGACAAGTCGCCTGTTAATATAAAAATTATTATATACAAGGTTTTTGTACTAAAATATAATAGCATGATGGAAAGGTGGTTAGTGTGTAGATAATTTTCAAAAATATTTATTTAATTTACCTTCACCATCTTGCAAACTGTTAGCATCCCCATAGGCCTCTGGTACAAGTTTAGCATAATGATGTTTATCTCTTTTGTCGAAACCTCCAACATCAAAATAAACGGAACCATTGCTTTCATAAGCCAGACCATTTGATATAATTTTTTCTATAAATGTTATAATTTCTGGTATGTATTCACTAACTCTGGTTAGGACGTTTGGTCTCAATACCTAAGAAATCAATCGTGAATAAAGATATCATTGAGGAATTCCATGAAGACATTATTTGGTTTTGCATTTGGTATGGTAGTGAAACTTACATTTAAAGTATCCATATCTTTATGATATTCTGATTCCCAGAATTGTGGTAATTTGCTAAATATAGAATTCTCAGTCACGCTATCGCCCTTCGTTTTGTCCAACCATTCAGCGAGTGGATCTCGAGCTTCTCTTAACAAGGCCTTTAAATATATTTATTATTAATTTCCTATTGAAATTTCATTAGGTCTTACGACAGTCCTAAGATAATTAATTTATTTCACATCATTTATTGTAAAAATATTTATCTTAAATCTATTGTTTTTTGATCACACGCAACTATCATTATAAAAGTTACAAGTGTTATAAAGATGTACTTGTAAGTTCAGTTAGTTAAAATTTGCTATTCTTTTGAAGTATTAGCATTTAAACAGCTGCTACCCTTGAAGTATTGTTTTATATAGTAGTGCTATTTGCAAAATGAAAAATATGGGAATATGTCAATGGAAACCTTATTTATTTATTGCAATAACTTATTTACTTTTAGGTTAATAATGTCGTTGAATAAAGAATTTATATCATATTTTGTTTACCTCTTGAAATTCTTTAATTTTGGCCTCATCATTTGCCCTGACAGCTTGCTCTAAATTCTCCACTGCCAACTTCACCTTACTCAGCATTTTGACTAACATGGATTTTTTGTCTGCATCAATAGTAGTTCTGACCGTGTCTTCAAATGCAGCCATTACTTTCTTGGCATCTTCTAATACTTGATCAAGACTATGTTGTTCTTCAATATACTTCTCATATAAATGATTCTGCCTCGCTCGTTTAATGATTTTATCATCAATATCAGTAATATTCATCACATATAAGACATCATATCCAAAGTAATTGGATAAGACTCTTCGTAAAATATCAAAGGATATATATGATCTGTAAAACAAAGTACAGCAAGGATTAATAATTATATCAAATTGAAGTACATACTTCAGAATATAATTATAATGTAATCATCATAATGACATTGTAAAGATATTAATGTAAATTTAGTTTTGTTATTTATCGATGAATATTAATAGACGTTGCACACTAATACTATACTATACAATACTATACAAAGCATACCAAATACTCAAAACTATATTGAACTACAAGTACGCCAATGCAAAACAAGCAACTCTAATGTAGATTAGATTGAGGAAGGTCACGACAATAGTAATCACAAAAAAGTCTCATCATTCCAAATAAATTAGTCACATACAATTCACAACACACATAAATCAATAACCTTTGATCCGAATCCTAATTTATTTCACTATATTTCAAAACTGTTATGGTCAAATTTTTTTCACTATGTAAAAGAATGTTCTTCTTAAAACATTAAATCGTTAGCTGAGAAATTCTATATATAGACTATACTAATAGTCAAATGGGGATAAGATGATGCAACTTCTAAGGTGTGTTGAACATACAAAACATCAATATATTGATAAGATAAAGTAGACATGCTATTCCAATTTATAACAAAAAATTCTGTTAAAATTTGAAAAATCACACAATAAAAAAAATGAAGAGATACTGTCCTTGATATTACTTTAAGTAACAGTATGTTGCAGTTCCAATTGATGTTAATCTTACAAGATTTCAATTATACCTTGCATGACCCATGTGCGAGGCATCATAGACGGTAGGTCCACAGCTATACCAAAGTACACGATTTCCATATTGAGGTATAAATTCTTCCTTCTGCCTTGTCAAACTGTTATACAACTTAAGAACGCTACCAGCCTTTTGTGAAGGTGGTCTCCAAGAGGGTTGCGAACGTTTTGCCATTTTTGTATCTAAGAACAAATTTGAATTAGTCATCTTTTCACGGAACCGAATGCGCACAAATTGAAAATATTTGCCAAATACAGTTAAATCCTTTATTGCAAATAAATCTCTTACTTACCAATACTGAAACGGAGCTAAAACTTTAGCAATTGTTACTACAAAATAAAAGAATATAATTATTTCACAATTTTATAGAAATGGCTACGTTTGATAACCGTATCTTGTTCAATTACCCAGGTGAAAATGAATGAAGTAATATGCTGCGTGTGTGGCATTTCCTCTAACGCTATTCCATGTAATAAAGTTACAGTGCAACATGAACTGAGTTCTGAAGAAATAATGTTCCGTCTTTTCAGGCTGCCATTTGAATCTGACCAAAGCTGGGAACCATAATGCTTTTCGCATAGGCGTTCTTCTTGCGTAAAGTTAATAATAAAATTGAAGTGGTATTTTGGAGTTCCATAATTCTGTACTTTTATCATACTTGGAAAGTGAGTGATAGATTAACAAAGTAGTAAAGTAGAGAATAATAGTATAGGCGTCTTTTTGTAAGCATTTAAAAACATTACTTCATTTTTAGCATAGCTGGTGGAATAATAGGAATTTATAATTGCTACGCCTATGGCTTATTAGTTTGACAGCTGTCAAAATTGCTCTTGGAATTTTAATTTCGTCTTACAAAGTGGCCAATATATGTTATTAAATTTATACTATTGTTGTACATACTCCTTATTACTTATTAATGATCGTTACAGGAGGAAATTTAAGATTCTGTTTTGTATTTTTTAGAATCGATGTTATTTTCTTTCAGTTGTACAACCTGACGTTCAACGAGGATCTTCAGACTAATTGTAAGCTATTTTCATACGGTTCCTCTTTGCTGGCAGGGTTGCGCTACGTCGAAACGTGGTAAAATCTATCAAGATGCAGGTTCCAGCTGTTTTTATGGATTTACCCCTGGAGGATCAGGTAAATTATTCTGTTATCCTGTTCATTATTGATTAAACTTTATGCCTGCATTAATTGCTTACTGCCTTGCTGCTTATGTTCACTTATTAATGTAACTCCAGATGGTCCTCTTCAGTCTATAGGTTATACACTCTACTAACACCGCAATCTAGCTTATACTTAATATTTATTTGCAGTGGAAAACGTATATTTTGTGACTTTAAATACAATTATGATCATTAATACGAAAATTGAAAAATGCATCTAAATATCGTATAAATAATGTATCGTTGGTGTAGTAAAATTTTATGTATACAATGCATGCCACTTAACATGGACACAATAGCGTCTTTTTTTACTGTTACTATTTTCAGAAGATAATTCATAATAGTTTGGGGAATATATAAAAAAAGAAATTGTGATCATCATGACAGTTTGGAGTACATAAAAATATTATTTTGCTTGGCAAGATTTCTTAATTGCTTTTTAATTAAAAATGCTCTTTTTAAATCCACATTCTCATCAACTTAATTAAATTATGACAGTTTTGCTGTTTTTATTTTTCAGGCACAGGAATTAAGGGTGTACTTCAAAAGTCTTGGTGCTGAAATAAGCGAGGAAAAATCTCCTCGGGGCATCGAAGATGATTTGCATAAAATTATAGGAGTATGCGACGTATGTTTTAAAGAAGGAAACGAAAGTGAAATCGAAACAGTACTCAATGATATTGTTTCCATCATGGTTGTTGTAAGTGTTCATACCTGTTCATGATATAACTAAACTTGTCAAATAAAAGCAATATTTGAACATTATATTCAATTTTGGTGGATTTGCAGATCCCCATTGAACGTGCAGGAAACTTAATTTTGGCTTTCTGTGAAAAACTAACAAAGGCTCCAGGGCTCAAGCTCGGTCTCGTGTGTTTAAAAGCGTAAATATACGTTTGCAATAAACATGTATCAATCATTATTCTAAACATATGCTTAAAATCATTTTCTTTTCAGATTGTGGTTACTTTTTCAGTCTCTTGACGAAGTGTCCCCTATGAGGTACCACGTTTACTACCACCTGGTGCAAATCGCTCGCAATGTTGACCAAGTAAAAGCAGTTTATGGTGGTGTGGATCAATTGAAACAGCAGTTTGCACCCTGCCCACCTTCCAACGAACAAATGCAGAAGCTACTTCGCTTATTGCACGAAGTATTACTTAATTCTAAACAAGGGTAAAGATCTTCATCGATAAAATGATCCATTGAAAAACAATATTTCCAACAGTACAAAGATTATTATATATAGTAAATATAATTCTATTATTGCAGAGAACAGGCAGCAGCAGTTATGGTGGAACTCTTAGGAACGTATACGGCCGAAAATGCATCCGCTGCTAGAGAAGATGCCCAGCGTTGCATTCTGGCCGCTCTTGCAGATCCCAATACCTTTCTCCTAGATCCGTTATTGGCACTAAAGCCAGTACTGTTCTTGCAAGGAGAGCTCATACACGATCTTCTTCTTGTGTTTGTGCAAGAAAAGCTCACTGCATATTTACAGTTCTATAAAGATCACAAAGAATTCGTAGAGAGTACTCTGGGGCTTAATCACGAGCAGAATATGAAAAAGATGCGCCTTTTGACATTTATGCAGCTGGCTGAGACAAATCCAGAAATGTCTTTCGACACAATTCAATCAGAGCTACAAATTGAGGAAGATGAAGTGGAGAGTTTCATTATCGATGGTAAGTTAAGTTACGATAAATTAGGTTATTGTCTATTTTGATGATTACCATATATTAGATTTATACGTATAATATTCATCCTGCTAAGTATAGTTCTTTTTCAAGACTTTGCCTATAATCCTATATTCAGATGAATCTCTTAAATTTCTATTCAAGAGAATCTTGAAATGTAGGATATATAAACAGAACCAGTACTGGCTCAGATGTGTTTGTGTAACTTTTGAGTTATCGAAGTGTTCAACAATATTCCAAAATGATTGCTATTCATAAAAGAACTGTTGTTCAGAAACTCACGGTTATGTTTTTCTTTAAGTATTAAAAACAAAACTCGTGCGTGCTCGTATGGACCAAGCAGGACGCAAAGTCCTCATCTCGAGTACCATGCACAGAACATTTGGAAGACCACAGTGGATGCAACTTCGAGACTTACTTGCCTCATGGAAAACAAACCTCAGCGGAGTACAAGATGGCATGAAAACTGTGGCAGCTGCACAACTAGAACTCGCTGCCAAAAATAAAGCAACAACAGCCCATTAATTTAGAATCATACTTTCTGTCGTTGTGGAAACCCTATGTGTAATCATGTGGAATCGAAATTCCTTAATTGAAAACAAGTTATCATAAAGTCACATTCCAACTGACTTTCCATAATCTTAACTATGAATGTACCATTTGTCAGTGACTATTAGCTAATTCTTATTTTCGGTTATTAATAAAAAGAGGGTCGTTGTTCTAACACATCTCGGAGATACTGTATTCATAAATTTTATTAAATTGAAGATTCGACATGATCACACATAGAATTATTTCTCCGTTATCCAACTATGCGAAATCTATCATGTTAAAATGTAACAGTCGCTCGGAATTAGTATCGTAAGTTTTTACAACTTTTATTAACTGTATTTCCATCTTATGCTAGAATCATCACTTCTGGTTCATTGTTACGTTTTTACGTGATTACATCGACAGTTACGATATGTCTCTGTGAGACAAATATATTTGTAAACACTATTTACATTTCGAAGTGTACATTTCAATGACCCAAACGAAGTTTAATTTTTTCTCTTGCGTCGTTGAAAACGCAAGTCCCTTCAGTCCTCATACAGGCTTCCTTAAAGTTAGTCAAAGTTAAATAAGCCTTGCAATATAATTTTATTGTAAGTAATCAAACAAATTTCGAATTACCTCTTATTATTAATTACAATTACCAATCTTATATACCAACTACCGAAGTATTACACGGCGGTTTAATTACACCAAATGATTCAATGAAACATCAACTTACTACGTGTATTTTATTGTCATCATAAGAATCAACCGAATGGAATTTGATATGAGTATTTTTGATAACTTATACATTTTCGGTGAAATTAAGATAGCATTATCTTATATTCTTGATTTCACAACCGGTATTTTTGCAACGGTATCCTATTGAACTTAATTTCCATGATTTTCGTCTCTTTCATAAAAATAGTTTGAAGGTAAACAAAACAAAAAAAAGATAAAATTACAGGTATTACTATCATGAAATAATAATTAGGGCAAAAGGGTGTCGTGCATTTTTAGAAGTAATATAGATACTACTCGTAGATAAGCACGTTATCGCTTTAGAGCCGATGATGCTGGTATCGTTATCATTGTTTGTTACTTGATTTCCAGCTCAGTTGTCCCTTGATTCTTAAGGCAATTAGTCCTCTTACCGTTCCGCACGAAAATGCGGAACAATCGGTTCCGCGCATTAGGCGCATTCGGATTAGTAATAGTATCGATTGGTCTCTTAACATTAGTTACCGGTGTGAAAACGCAAACGGAAAATGAAGCATTTGACACTGCATTTGGTTTAAATATCAACGATAATACAGAAAATGTTGAACAGCCTACAGAATCTGATGGAGTACCAGCAGTTTCCGGTGAACCACAACCGTCTGAAATTAATGACCTTATCGGTACCGGAAATCCAGAGGAAGAGCCAGAAATCATCGAAGAAAAGGACAACCACGAGGAGGAACCAATTGTTTCGGAATCTGAGTCATCCCCTGGTACCGTACCAAAAGATGTTAAACCCGAAGACATCCAACCGGATTTAACGAAATCATACGGTATCTCTAGTAGGATCGATACCGACAGAAGCGGAAAATATGTGAGCTACGGTGAGTAATTCGTTATCAATGGGCGTGACCGTTTGCTGCCATCATTTAATAACGACTTGAATTCATTTTGTGTTATCAAAGTTATTTTGATATAGGAAATTTTTTAATTTTACAAAGTACCACTTTTCAGTTCTTCGTTTTTCGTACCGTTGCCTGCGGTCTCAATGGCTATTGTATTCAAGGCGCTATAGTCTCTCTCAAACAACTTGATTTAGAGTACGACAAGTATGATCATATCGCGGTCTTATCTCTCTTTATCACTTACTCATCTTGACATGAATCGCGGCTGGTGAATCATCAGCCTCAGAGTACTACGCCTTTCATGGAAACGTGCTATACGTATTGTATTTCATGAAGCTTTTCTTTTTTAATTACAGTTAGCACTAATTCACCGTAGCAATCATATTTTCCAAATTCATTCTGTTCATTCTGGATTATTAATATAGTTAAGATTGATCATTTAGATTAAAAAATATCTATTTCTCTTTGCCAATGGCAGGATAGGGCTGTATCAGAATTATTGAAATTATTATCAGCAAAAAAGAACCACTTATATTTTTGCAGATTCGGATTCACCGGAGGCGTCAAGATATGCTCCACGGGCGGAAAACAGCCCGGTCAATTATGTTCTGACGGAAACTCGTTTGAGGGCGATTCGCTCAGAATTTATGTACTGGTATTTCGACTTGGGTGGCGACAATAATCGTGGAGATTATCAAACGGATATACACTCTTCCGTACCTCAAATTCACAAGAACTTCAATTTCCAACTTCCGTTCTATGGATTCCGATTTAATTATACCAGGGTTCGTTTTTGCTTGGTTTTACCAAAAATTATATTCAATAGGTGATGTTTACTTTTTGCAAAAAATACATTTATAATAATATTTTATCCTTTTAACAGCTCTCTATGAATGGTTTTCTCGAATTCAGTGATCCACCAGAACACTATACGTATCCTTTAGTGTTTCCGGTTAAGGATTGGCCAAAGAAGAACGATCCGAGTTTCATTGGTATTTTTTTCAGTAAATGTCGCATAGGTAAACTCAGACCTACGGATATCGATCAGAGAGAACCCGGTGTATATTTCAGGTACTTGTACTTTATTATTATAAAAATTATAAATTTATGCAAGATTTAATGGTACAAATTTATATTTTAGACTTGAACGAGATTTACGCAAGAGAACAGATCAGTTTGGGGTAGAAATGAGGGAACGTGTCAAATGGGATATTCGTCAGGGTGTTGTTGGGGCTGATACTTTCGATCCCAAACATGCTATCATCGTTACATGGAAAAATATGTCTTTTGCTGGTGGAATTGATAATTCACTATACAGAACTAATACTTTTCAAATGGTATTGGTTACGGACGAAGTTTACACATATGCCATTTTTAATTATTTAAATATCCAATGGAGCAGTCATACCGAAGCTGGTGGTGACACCACAGGTGGTGAGGGCGGTGTACCAGCTTTTGTAAGTTTTTCTGTGTTTTTATTGTAATTATATAGAATCAATAACCATTGTAAGATAGTACATTATGCAACAAGGGAGTAAAGTCGTTGATTATTCCCGCGGGTGAGAGTGTACTGCCCGAGCGAAGCGAGGGCAGTAAATCACCCGAGGGAATACCCGACTTTACTCTCGTGTTACATATAGTGCTTTATTCACGACTGCGCTATAATAGCCACTTTATTCCCTCAAAAGTAGAACCAAATCAGCCACCGTCATTATGATGGAAATATATGTTTTTTCAAATATTCAAAAAATTCAACATTTTAAAATTTTTCACCTTTTCAAAACTTTTAAAAATTTCAAAATTAAAAAAAAAATTCAAAATTTTGCGGGAATAAAGTTCATTATTCCCGCAAAATGCGGGAATAAAGTAAATTTGCGGGAAAACCAAATATGCGGGAATAAAATGCTACTTTAGTCCTGCTTTTCAGAGAATAAAGTGGCTATTATAGCTCATTCGTCAATAAATACTATTATTATTTATTCTTTTTAGATTGGCTTCAATGCAGGTAACGGGACACAGAGTTACGAATATAAACCGTACTCGCAAATGTCTACCCTTCGCGATTTAACTGGAAGAGGCTGGGGCAATGGCTTTCCCGGAAGACATATATTCAGAATAGATGAAAAAATTATGCTTGGTACATGCAACAAGGATATAGGTAAGTTTGCATGTAATATATTTTTCTTGATTAGGATAAGTTTATGAAACTTTTTATACGTTCTCTTTTTAACATTTTATAGCGGGTACCCATTTGCCTCTCGTCTTTGCACCGGAAAGCGGAAATATGCTGGGTGGTACCGTGGTCAATATTACTGGTCCATGCTTTGAACCCACTGATAAGGTCAGATGTCGATTTGATACAGAGATAGTGGTGGGAACTGTAATTGATTCCAATAGAGCCATTTGCATTCAACCTTTTGTCAAAGTTGAGGGGTACATCCGGTTTGCGGTAGCAATTGGCAGTGGACAATACGATTGGAGAGGCAAATTCTTTATTGGTAAGAGATTATTGATTTTCATTAAGTGACATATTGGTTTAGAACATTTTATAGAAATCGTAATTTCCCATGTATAATATTTACAGAAACACCAGCCACTGCCACTGAAAGGATCTTCTTCTCTAAGGAATCTGTACGTGAAAGGGATCCTGCGGAGATTCGTATAACGTGGAATCAATATAATTTAACCAGCAACTTGAATGCTGGTATACACATTTCTTTATGGGGTTATCGAGAAAACGCCATTAGGCCTGAACTGGAGTACATAGCCACTATTGAGGTTTGTATATTCTAGATAACGGTGTTATAACTGATAATTATTTAATTTTATATAATTATGCTATGCCTTAAACTTTCTTTTCAAGTAACACAAATCTTTTTTATTTTATATTTACCATACAGGCAGGCGCAACGAACACAGGAGCTTATACAATTACCCCTAGTAATTACCGTGATAACGAGAATCCTGGACAACGTGACATGCTCTTCGGTTTCCTTAAAATTAACTTGACTAATCCGTCACAGTATTCTGGCTTAGAAATTTCACCGTGAGTAATAATAAATATCAGTATATTATCTGAAGTAAGTCATAATAGTACTTGCTATCATTTTAAAATATCATTTCAGTGTTCTCTGGAGCAAACCAATACCTCTTGCATGGTACTTTGGTCCACAATGGGAAAGAGTTTATGGATCTCAATGGCCTCAACGTATTTGTGACACGTGGACAATGAATGACAGATATTTAAAAAATTTTGCAGCTAAAGTATCACTCTGTCCGTGCACCCTCAAACACGCCCTGTACGATAAGGGTCGTTTCCTTCCTGATTATGATTGCGACAAGGACTCAAATCCTGACTGTTATTATAACCAGGGAGCTGTACACTGCGTAAGGACTGGAGCTCCCAAGTAAATATTGATCATAATTAAATTAAAGCGAGATAACTATTTTTGGCATATTTTATCTATCGTTTTTTTTATTTTCAGTTTGGACGGTTCTGCACAGCAATGTTGCTATGATAAGAATCACTATTTGATGTTGAGTTATGATCAACAATGGGGTTCGCGACCTCAACGTTCACATAATTTGGGATTTCTACCTTGGAACGAGGCCAATAAAGTTCCAACCTTATCACATTGGTACCACGATGTTGCACCTATGTATATGTGCTGCCTGTGGCAGGATGAAGATGCCATCGGTTGTGAAACATTCAGATTTGAAAGGCGACCATCCCAGGATTGTGTTGCTTATCAATCACCGACTGTGGCCGCTGTATTTGGTGATCCTCATATCGTTACCTTTGACAATTTGGAATATACATTCAATGGAAAAGGAGAATTTGTACTGGTGCGAGTAAACAATATTCTGGATAAGTTAGATATTCAAGGCCGTTTCGAACAACTTCCCAATAACTATTATGGAGAAGTACTGGGAACCCAACTTACCGCTGTAGCAGGTAATAGTCTGTTAATAAATACACATGACTGATTGTCATTATGAATTCAATTAATTTTGGTCTTTGATTTTTTTTAATAGCCAGGGGTAACAATTCAGCCACTATAGAAGTCCGAGTGCGTCCTAATCACGCGCAATGGCGATACCGTCTTGATGTCTTTGCTGATGGACGTCGCATTTACTTTGACAGGCAATCATTGAAGTTTCAACATTTTGCTGGTGTACTTGTTTACACTCCAACTTATATATTGAATCAGAGTGAAGTGATAATCATGTTTGATACTGGCGCAGGTGTTGAAGTTGTTGAAAATGAAGGATTCATGACAGCTCGCGTTTATTTGCCATGGACGTACATGGTAAGTCTTAAAGGGAGAGTTCACGAGTATTTTCATTGACATATAAAGAAACAGTAAATAAAATTATTGTGTAATTTCAGAACAAAACAAGAGGATTAATGGGCAATTGGAGTCACGATATCACCGATGACTTTACAAATCCAGATGGCACTCTAGCATCTGTCTCGAATTTAAATAATTTCGAAAGGGTTCATAAAGACTTCGCCATCAATTGGTTACTGGAGGACAGAGAGGATCCTAATAAAGGAGCGGCTTTATTTACTCGTGAATTTGGCAGAACTGCTAGTTATTACGCTAATCGAACATTTGTACCAGAGTGGAAGAGAACGCCGGCTGAAATATTATCAGCAAATAGGTTGGTAGATATACCTTATAATTGATAAAAAGTTTTTCTTTAAATATCACAATTAAACTGTCGACCATTTTGTATTACAGATCACGCGATATATCACGGGCGTACGACCTCTGTGGTGACTCTTATCAGTGCCAGTTCGATTATGCCCTAAGTCTCAATCGAGATATGGCACATTTTACTAGAAATTACTATGATACATATACTCAGATTAGAACCATCAACGAAGAAAGAAGTAAGCCCCAGTTATTTGAATATATATGTCCAAAAATATTTCAATAATTATACAAATGCAATATTGATGTTTTATTATATTTTCATTGCAGCTATAAGCTGTGGCATCCTAGAGAAACCAAGGTACGGTCGAAAGAGCAATTTCCTTTTTACACCTGGAAGCGAAGTCACTTTTGAGTGCTACACAAACTTTGTACTGATCGGAGATCGTCGTCGTCTTTGTACACCCGAGGGACGCTGGGACTTGCCTGAATATGGTTACACGGAATGTCTTCGTGAGTATATAATTTTCTTTCAATTAATAATATTCTTACGCTACTGTGAGATTAACGTAAAAATAATGGATGACAATCGATCTCTTATCAGACATGTCTTATGGATCATATCTATGCGACGAGCAATCTCTAAGATAAAATATGAAATAATAATATATTTTCCAATCCATTTCTGTTAACGTGGCGGTTTATCGATTTAACAAAATTCAATCTGTCCATTGTGTACAAACTTAGGTTACGTCGAATATACTCAACGTACTGCTTGGATCACCATGGCTATCGTTGGTGGTATACTTCTACCACTGCTCTTCTGTCTTGCTGGTGTTTTTTATTGCGTAAAGAAAAAATCAAACCAAGAAAGCTCGACGAGATCGTGGCGATTTTCTGATCGTGGTTCCGGTATTGATAACGACTCTGGGTTATCGAGACAAAGTACACCCTTAAAGGCATACGATAGAGCAATCTCTCCTAATAGTGAAACCGGTACTGATACCGACGGAACCGGTACCAGTACTGTTAGAAAACGTCGAACCTACGACAAGGTTTATCGTACCCATGAACCACTGCCGGACAGACCATATACTGAGTTTGAGGAAAAAGAATGGGACTTGAAAGAAGAACCAACTTCGCCTAATGGTTCTGATACGACTGATGACATGATTAGAAAGAAAACCGGAAGTCCCAGCAGAGAAAGTGACGTTTGAGATATCCGGGGGAGACTCCCATTAGAAACTGTTAGGAAATCATGAATCCACGTTGACGTTTATCATTTAATTAATTTCATTCCTTTTTGTATTCTGGATATCTATGAATCCGAATTTTTGTAATTACAAAGAATTATCCAGTCTTGTTAATCACTGTACTCGCTTCAAAGAGCGATGCATACATTTATTGCTTATGAATGAAAATGATGGGATTTTCATTAATGATTTATGAAGTACAAAGTTTTTAAAAGATATGGGACTTAATAATTGTTGTTTAATTATTTTTTATATTTATGTAGTTGAGCACTGTTTATTTTTTGTGAAAATGGGACGTTATAAATGTCTAACTACCATACGTTCATTATCATCCCCATCAATCAAATATTCGTTTTTATCATTACTGTATTGACTGAAGACACTGCGAACTTACTTGCGAACCACTACTGTATACCAATGTGGAATAGAAAATTCCTTTATTCTTTTTTACAAATTCGTTCGATTATTTTTTATGCACGTAATTTATAAACGTCAAAGATTTATTCCATTGACTACGCGGGACTAACGAACAAAAGTACTTTAATACTTAAAAAAAATTCGTACATATTACACATAAGATTGATATCCAATGAACCTAACTTTATCGCAATGATTTATCATTGCAGTTAATTATTTTATACGATTATCATTGTAAACGAATTCTGAATAGCTGTAACGTGATGTTTTCAATAAAACTTTTTTGTAAACCGCATTTATATTGGGAAATTTCTATTCCACGTCCTATGCATTTCTACGGTACATTAAAACACTTCAGTTAATACTTTTCGCAAATAGGTAGTGGAATGGAAATTTCTATGTGTCTTTGAGAAATTTCCATTTCTTCAAATTCCACGTTAACAAGATCCAAAATGAATTTTTGTACTATAAATCAATCCCACACAATTTATCTATCATAAATAATGTTTATTTTGTATCTTACACTATACTACTGTATACTGGATATATTGAATTACTTTTATAACTGCTGTACAGGTGCTTCCAATAATCAGTACATTTATCTAATAGATTTTCTCTGCTAAATATAATAGGTCAGCAGGAGTACAGTTCACGACAAGCTGGAATTACATCAGGCATAATAATAGCAATCTTAATTCCCATCATGTTGATCATCGTCTGCGTGGCGTATCGAGTCTGCAAGAGCAGAAAAGAGGAACGAGAGGAGGAGGACGCGTTAGAAAGGTAAATTTCACTGAACATTAATAATCGTAACGATAAGATATACGTAGATAAGATATAGATATAGATATAGATATACGAAATTTAGTAATTGAAAAATCATACATTTCACTTTGTAGGACGCGTCAGACAGAACTTATAAGGATCCGCAATAAGATACAGGAAGAAGCGGAAGAGGAAGGACCACCTACTGCTTATGGGAGCAGAACTACTGAGATCAATTAATGTTGACTCAGTCGTCACATTTATTATAATATTATTGAAAATCATTGGTCGAATCATTGATTAACACCGGGCTGCTAACTGACGCGCAATACAAACTGTTCATTGTTGAATGTTCATCGCTCTGGAATAATTTCGTCATATCATAATCAGATCTAGATGTAGTGAAACTGTTTATCTTATAAGTTTATGACAATACGGTACAATACACTGTGTTTTAACACAGATCCGAATTTATAATGTATACAGAAGTTAATCTTTTTATATCTGTTTTTACGAGCACTATGAAGCTACTCTTTCATGTTATACAGAACTCAGCAAACGCACGAGAGCTCCACAGTGATCAACCATTGCTAGTCCATTGACAGGCGCAGTGGAACAATAAAGACTCATCACTGAGCCGCTCATATGTATTTTTTGGAGAGTTATGTAGTCGATATTTTATATTTGTAGAACATATATACTATATATATATATATATTTGCACCGCTATCTATTTTGTAGTCAGATATCCTGAATGAAAATACGATTGTTAAATATGAATTGTTCATTATCATATTTCCCTACTACCAACCAACGTCGCTAAATGCAATATGTTGTGAAATAGAAAAGCCAATGTTTCCTAGTCTATCCATCTTCGTACCATTTCCTTCATCTACCTTTTTCGGTCATTTCTCTCAAATAAACTGAATCCTCTGTCTCCCTTTTCCTCTCTCCCTTTTCAAACACTCATTAATTTGATTCTTGGAAAATTTTGTCGATAAGTAACGATTCCATTGGTTTTGAAAAGTGAATATTATACCTTTAGGATACTGTATCTCGGGATCTATGTCTCTTAAATTCTCGTTTTACGCCCTTTCCGAAACTAACAAAAATGCTCCCTAGGAAAATGAATTTTAGGATTGTCGGGAAGATAGCTCCTTATATGTATGCTCCTTATCTTTTCCTAATTACTACGCTTCTGTAATACAACGGATAAAAAATATTCATTAAAACAGAAAAATATTCATGTTATTGCTATTCCAAATAATCAAGCAGATTTTCATATGATTTTCTTAATGAATTAAGGCTGCTGTCTGGCTGGAAAAAATTTCGGTGTTGACTCGAGCGTTGACTGGTGGCGAAAGTACGAAGCTCTGACAGGGGCGTTATGGCTGCAGTATTTGGGGGTTCCTTCGCAAAGGGTGCCAGACACCTCACAAAATTTTCAAGAAATTTTTTTTTTATTATATTGTGCGCGTTCAGTACTTCGACCCCATTACTTTTCTTATCATGTTGCTTTTATGACTCGAGCGTTGACTGGTGGAAATATTCATTAAAACAGAAAAATATTCATGTTATTGCTATTCCAAATAATCAAGCAGATTTTCATATGATTTTCTTAATGAATTAAGGCTGCTGTCTGGCTGGAAAAAATTTCGGTGTTGACTCGAGCGTTGACTGGTGGCGAAAGTACGAAGCTCTGACAGGGGCGTTATGGCTGCAGTATTTGGGGGTTCCTTCGCAAAGGGTGCCAGACACCTCACAAAATTTTCAAGAAATTTTTTTTTTATTATATTGTGCGCGTTCAGTACTTCGACCCCATTACTTTTCTTATCATGTTGCTTTTATAGTAAAGAGAATTCCATCATTTTTCATTTCCGCTCTAAAAATCTTGTTTGTTATAAGTACTGGTAGCTAAACATTGATATTTACATTCAAAAATGCAACTTTTGAAGCTCGAGATAATTAAAAATAAAACGTGCGATTTTCATTGAAGATTACAATTATATATCTGGTGATTTTTATATTTAAATGACGTAACACATTGGGTGGAAAAAAAGAAAGCTATAAGTGAGACTCGAACCAGCGACCTCGCGCTTGCTAGGATCGAACGTTACCGGGTGCGTTAAACGGCCTACTTGAATATTGTGACACATTTAATGCACATACGGACTCACAAAACTTCAAAGTCTACTTTCTTGAGAATTTTTGAATATGACATAGAACTGTTTTGGGAAATTACTATTCGAATTCTCAACTTCACGTACCATGAGTAAAAAACATCACAAAAATCCTATTGTTGGAGACTCTTCTTGTAAGAAATATTCTAATATTCCGTTACGTTTGCAATATTAGTCTTTGCGACAGTCTATGCTAATTATTGAAAAAATAATAATATAATGCGTACAGATTATACAAAAAGTAGAAAAGCAAGGAATAGAGTTGTAAAAGTAGAGAAGAAATAAGGAAAGAAATAAGTAAGGAAGTAAAGAATGAAGGATAAATAAATAAATAAAGAAATAGAAGAAAGTTAGAAACGAAATAGAGGGATGCTTCCACGAGACTAATATAGGAGACTGGCTCGAGGAAGACTGAGCGCTCCGAGTCCGGGTAGTGGCTTAGGCGCTCCCCCCACTCCCCACCACTCAGTGAGTTATGCGGGCGAAGTTGCACGTACACAATTTTGGAGAATTTTCAGTACTTCTAAATATTCTCGGCCAGCATTTCTGATTTCCAAGTCTTAATGTGCACTTACATGGTCCCCCGACCCCCTTTCTTCGGGTTTACTTGGTGGGAGCCAATCATTCAATTTCTATTATTTTATTAATGTTTCCGGTTCTGCCATTTCTGCGTGTTCCTGGCCATAATTCCTAGTGGTAATTTGACTTAAGAAACTTCATATACCCCAATATACATAGCCTCTGTGGCACCATTTTTCAAACTGCATACGCAACCCTTTTATCGTGGAAAGTTTGCGGGTCGCCAAAAAGAAGGGACCACCTGTCCAGCAAGTGGCACCCCTTTAAGCGGCGAAGCCTGAGACTAAAGTACACATTATATAATACGAATTAAACCATTCTAGTTTTAAGTTAAAAAACCTTTTTAAAATATAAAGGAAAAAGCTTAATTCCCAGCCATTTACGTGATACAGCATAGGTACAATTTTTTAATAATATTTAAGTCATATGTTGTGACGTTAAAATTCACGTCCCAAGGTCCCGAGTAAAGAACTAGCGTGTTTTAAATACGGGACGCATTACCGTCCCTCGGGAAAGTTGCGAAAGGTACCGGCCAAGAACTCCAGGGTCCGAGATTGTATTAGAATTAGATAAGATTAATTATTTTTGTTCCGTACAACTATTTGATGCGTTTCGTATCCAGCCACCACCACCATCAACGTTTCGCCGAGGGAGTAAAGAGCAGCCACGCCTAGACAGACCATCAGTCGCAGCCTCGCTCGAAGGAAGTTGCCGCCAGTCCCGCGAGGAAGCGTGGAGACGCACTACGTCACCAGGCGCCTCCACCCCGCAGCTGACGGCTACCGAATCAAGTAGGAAGCCGAGACAGCATAAGACATCGCACTGGAACATACCGATCTCGCATTACCGTCGGTACGAACGTCCCGCGAAGGGAACGCCACCAGTACCGAAGAGGATGGAAGGCTCTGGAAGCTGTCCAGGTGCGAGGGGTCGCTACCCTCCACCACCTATCCGTCCCGACAGGAGTCCGGACGAAATCCAACTCCGGACGAAGTATCCGGACACCCTAGCTACGGCAACGAGTTGTGACATCCCGAAGAGTTCCGAATCCAGCGAACAGGATCCGTCGCGAGGACTAGGATTAAGAATAAACTAGCGGAACCGTCCTCCAAAGTAGAGAATTGTATCGTTTACAATGAGGCTCCGGTTATAGACGTTATATCGTTCCGCGTCCTTCTCGTAGGGTTAAGTTGATAGAAATTATTGATACAATTATCGTAAAATGTATTTGAATCCAGTAGCATGTTTTGAAGTTAGCGCGAGGGCCTACAATTGGCGAGTACCTTCGACGTCGATGATTGGCCCAGGAGGGCCCGGCGGGGATGAGGGAGCTAGCGCTGGCCCCGAGTCCCGAAGAACTCCCGAAGATATTCACTCTCGACTAGTTTGCCGTCTTGGCCGGTGGTTTCGTCCAGAATGGTTGTATCATAGAAGACATATTGTATCGTTCACGGTAAGCGTCTCGTCGTCGAGAGGACGAAATCTTTTCCATCGGTATAACTACTGTTTAATTGCGAACTTGTATCTCGTTATTACTTTCCTCCCGGTTTCGGCCTAGGAGAAGATCGCATAACGTACAGTAGGAAAAGATTCCGTGCCTACCGCTTGAACTACCTATTTATTGTAATTTATTGTATATTGTATATTTCGGCTATCGCCTTACTCTTGGTGACCCTGGAGAATAGTAGAGAATCAGTTTATCACGCTTCCCGTGGTAGACTCGTAGGACGTAGAAATAAGTAACAAGGCATGTTGTTGAAGAGCCTACGGTATTAAATAAGATATTGATATTCTCTACGCGTAATTATCATTTTTATGAATCTGTAACTATTTTTCTTCTTGTCTCTAGAGTTTCGTATAGTACTATTGTACATTATTTATTCTGTGTGAATTCGTATGTTCCATATTCTTTATGATTGATAATTCTTGTTAATTCCGCCACTCGACCGATCCGTTCCGTTATTCGCCAGAATCGTGTGTTTAGCCACTACGTCTCAGGGCGTAGATAGAGTCGACCTTCGTACGCGTAACTCAGTATCGGCAACGGATTAAGTCTCGGTAGCTGACGTTTAATATCGTATTTTGTCATTCATCCACGCGCCCCTTAAGGAATCCCGTATCGCGTGGCTTACGTATTATTGGTGTCGAAATTACCATTTCATTTTGTTATTTAGTTATCACTGTTAATTCTTATAAGTCCCAAAATAAAGGGCCCATTGTTATTTTTGTTACTGGTTAATTGGAAGTTCTCAATCCCCGCCCCTCTACTATCACGTCGCGATCTAGCTGGCTTGGCTAATTTCCTTCTTTCCTTCGGAATCTTCCTATGCAGTCTCGTGGCACAAAGGTGTGCCTGGCGCCAATGAGCATTTAATATTCCGAATTCCTAGATCTCGGGGAAAAGTAAGGAGGATTGTAATTTGCGACTTTCGTCACAATGTATATCCTTGTTCAGGTGTTTCAATTTATAAGTCAATCTGTAAAACAGCAGATCTTCCATGGTTGTGTACCTACTGCCGATATATCTGTAACAATAAGAATCAGGGACTGTAGTTATTGCAAAGAGAAAAATGGTATATCTCTATATTTCATATAGGGATTGCACTTCGTATTGATCGCATAAAAATATTTACATATTAAGCATATGTTACTGGGTCATCACAGAGTAACTTTTGCACAGGTAAAAGATTGACATTTCACTGAATACCCATATTGAGAAAAAGAAGTCGTGAAGTGAATAGAAAGAATACTTTTTTTCTTTAGCCAGCATTATGGTGACATGTGAATATAATGCAGCTTAGTCATTGTTGCCTTATCGAAGGCACACATATACACTGATCCGTGTGACCGTGATTGTCCTCTAAAGTAATGCTCCCCCCTCTTGACAGTTTCCGTTATATACATATTGCGCGTGCAAACAGCCAGCAGTCAACATCACAGTATCTACGAGGATGGACCGTTGGGCAGGAAAAGTAGCAGTGGTCACCGGCGCCAGCTCGGGGATTGGCGAGGCGATTGCCAAGAGTCTCGTAGCCTCGGGGCTCAAGGTCGTAGGCCTAGCGAGAAGATCGGAAAGGCTTGAAGAACTGTCGAAAAAGCTGGAGGTGCAAAAGAGTTCAAAGGGCAAGTTGTATCCACTACGATGCGACGTACGTCAAGAAGAGGACATCCTGAAGGCCTTCGACTGGGTCGAGAAGAATCTTGGGGGTGTTGACATCCTGGTGAATAATGCTGGAGTAGGCTCTAACAAACGTGTTACTGGTAAGTCTGTAAAATTAGTCAATAAATTTTAATGATATTCCTTGAAATGAAATTTTGTTCTTATTTTTCTTTCTGACGTTTAACACGTATAGAGGATAGCACTGAGAATTTTCATAAAATCATGGACATCAACGTGATTGCCGTGGCCGTCTGCACCAGGGAGGCCGTCAAGTCGATCAAGGCTCGTGGAGTTCCTGGCCATATCATTAATATCAACAGGTACTAAGATAGCAGCCATACGAGTTAGGTAACAGGCAAATGATAAGAAATTTGATACAATTATCTATTTATAATTTTATTTTTACGATATTCTCGCAGCATCTTAGGACATAATGCGTTGTTAGCATCCATGCCGACTAGTTTGTACAGTCCCAGCAAGTTCGCCTTAAATTGCATGACGGACGTAACAAGAATTGAATTATCTGAGGTCAAACCTGCCATCAAAGTTACTGTAAGTTGCTGCGTAAGACTCAATCGACAAAAGGATTAAAATTAATTTTCAAAAAATTATTATCACTGAGCTAAATATTAATACGGCCAGTCCAAGTACAAAGTCAGCCACATTGTAATCTGTCTCGTTGGTCTATGTGGGTTTCGTGTGTTAATTAAACACTTCAGGCGAGAAATTATATCTGTTAGATGCTATAGATAAATATTTTATACTTATTTATCTGTTTTTTTTATACTTATCCACAGAGTTTAAGTCCCGGATTAGTAAAAACCGAAATTCTAGAAGCTTCCGGATTCAGCAACGAAATATTTAACGTCTCTCCATACGTGGAACCTGACGATATTGCAGACGGAGTTATTTACGTTCTGGGGACACCACCTACGGTCCAAGTTAGTATTTGACGGATTCTGTGGAACTCTTGTACCGCGTGAATTAATATTGAAAATCATTTAAAGAACTGAGTAACCAATTATATTTTTTATGTTGTTTAGGTGAACGAGCTAATGATAACACCGGTGGGAAAGTAATATTACAATAGTTTTTAATTAATAATAAAAGTATTAATGAACATGTTGGGAACCAATAAAATAAAATTTGATAAATAAGGTGCAATTATTTATGCGTTCCATCTTCACTGATCACGTGAACTTCAATTTTGGGTGGCAGCGCGCAAGTGACTCTGTCATTACAGCGGCAACGTTTTTGGGTTCCTCGTGTCGATTTCTACATATATCTAAGCAGTTGAATATCTTGTTGAAAAAATGTTCTGTCGTCTAAACTGGAAGTAAATTACATTATTACTTTCTTGATTGGCAACTTCTGTTCATTCGCCGCTCGTAATATATGTAGGTTATAATATATATAATGGTATCACAGCAAATTGTACATAACAAGTGGATGAACATCAGCAATACCAAATGGCGGAAATTACGAAATCAGAGGACATTGTGAATATTACAATTACGTTAAAAATTAATATTATCTGAAATACTTGGCCTCGAGTCCCTACCGGGACGACGCGTTCGGAAGTTATGGCCATTTAAGTGTTTTCACTTCAAGGGGGTGTAACTCCCCCTAGAGTGATCCTACAGGAGTTCAATGGAGGTGTTTTTTTAATGCCGAAGGATGCTCTCTCTCGTGCCCTCATTAGAAATACGAATTTCCTTCCGGAACTGCTAGATCTCGAATTTTTCAAAAAGTTTCAAAATGCAATTTTTCACTCCAACCCCTGCCATTCGGCCATTTTGTATCCAATCGGGATTAAACCCTCACCATTCGAACAGGAAGGAAATTTCCTAAAAAATATGTCTGTGGTTTTTCGAAATCTGTCATACTTTCACAAAAATGTGAAAAAATTCAAGTGCTGCACTTCAATTGGACGTTACTGTATACTGACTGGTGCGAATGTGTAAAATATGCTGAACCATCTTTCCTTATCTTATCAACTAATTGTAAGTATAAACATCTGCTGCGCGTAGAAGCAGCCAGCAGTCAACATCACAGTATCTACGAGGATGGACCGTTGGGCAGGAAAAGTAGCAGTGGTCACCGGCGCCAGCTCGGGGATTGGCGAGGCGATTGCCAAGAGTCTCGTAGCCTCGGGGCTCAAGGTCGTAGGCCTAGCGAGAAGATCGGAAAGGCTTGAAGAACTGTCGAAAAACCTGGAGGTGCAAAAGAGTTCAAAGGGCAAGTTGTATCCACTACGATGCGACGTACGTCAAGAAGAGGACATCCTGAAGGCCTTCGACTGGGTCGAGAAGAATCTTGGGGGTGTTGACATCCTGGTGAATAATGCTGGAGTATCTGTATATAATAAACTTACTGGTTAGTATCTAATATTTATCAATAAATTTTTACGATATTACTCGAAATCATATTTTGTTCGTATTTTTTTGTTTCATTATCTTTTTACCCTTTAACACGTATAGAGGATAGCACTGAGAATTTTCATAAAATCATGGACGTCAACGTGATTGCCGTGGCCATCTGCACCAGGGAGGCTGTCAAGTCGATCAAGGCTCGCGGAGTTCCAGGCCATATCATTAATATCAACAGGTACTAAGATAGCAGCCATGCGAGTTAGGTAACTAGGGCGATGATAAGAAGCTTAATCATTTTGTTGATAATTTTCTGTTTCTATGATCTTGTCGCAGCGTCTTAGGACATAACTTGTTGAACGCAAAGAATTCATATAGTTTGTACAGTCCCAGCAAGTTCGCCTTAAATTGCATGACGGACGCAACACGAAATGAATTGTCTGAAGTTAAACCTGCTATCAAAGTTACCGTAAGTTGTTGCATGAGATATTGAAATATAATTTTTAAAAATTATTATCAGTTGTCCAAATATTCATAGAATCACTGCAAGTGCAAGATCAGCCTCACTGTAATGTGTCTTGTTAATTTCTGCGTTTCCCACATTATATTGAGTCTGTAAAGAAATGCTTTAATTAAACATTTCAGGTGAACAATTATATCTGTCAAGTGCTATTGATAAATATTTCATATTTTTCTTTTACCTGTTTCGTATTCACAGAGTTTAAGTCCTGGGTTAGTACGAACGGAAATCGTGGAAGCCATTGGATTAGGTTACGAAATTTTTGACAGCAGGGCTCACGTTATGCCTGAAGACATTGCGAATGGAGTTATTTACGTTCTGGGGACACCACCTACGGTGCAAGTTGGTATTTCTCAGATTCTGCGAGTCTTGTACAGCCTGAATAATATTGAAAGTCAATTAAAGAACAGAGTAACCAATTATATTTTTCATGTTTTTCAGGTGAACGAGCTAATGATAACACCGGTCGGAAATTAATATTGGAATATTTCTTAATGAATTATAACTTGAATTATAGCTTGAATTATAGCTATTACTAGAATTATAACTTGTAAGGAATTAATAAAAATAAAAAATGTATTGGCTGAAAAATAAGGTGAAATTATTTATACGTCCTGTCTTCACTGATAATTAAGATTGTATCCCTAGTGGAACGTGCAAGTGACTCGTACTCTGTCATTAGAGTACAAATGTTTGATTTTCCATTCCGAGTTTCAACTTTTACACACAAAAAAATATGTGTCTTGCTAAAATTTGTTTCAATCGAAAGCAATTTATATTTTTGGAAGGTACAGTCAGAAAAATCTGTCAAATATTTAAATATTCAACCTAACCGATGTACCCTGTTATAAATTCACAAGAGGAATGGAGCTTTTGTATGCATGTCCTTGGTTCTTAAGTGTCTATGTTCTCATTAATTTGACACGATAGCTAATGACGTTTCCATTTCTCATTTCTTTCCACTTGCGGTAGCCATTTACGTAAGCGGTCATCCTGAAACTTTCGAAAGGGGTTGAAGCAATTAGATTAGCAGTCGGTACCTGCATGAAGTTGGCCGGCCAATTTTTATTTTTTAAACTTTTATTTATCAAGAGACGCGGTAGCGTCTCGACGCCAAGTATAAAAGAAAAAATCGGCCTCCTCACGAGACGCTACCGCTACTCTTATTGACGCCAAGTTGGCGCTTTTTCGTCTGCTACGATGAAATAACTTGAATTATCTGGGGGTATATGTCGTGGGCGAAAAATGTGTCAGGTCCAATATTTTTTCTTTTTTTTTTCTTTACAATGAGCCTTTGTCCAATAAAATCGGTTCTCGCAATGCTGATATCTGGCATTTTAGCAATATCAGTCGAAATATTTTTCTCAATTTGTCCCCTCTCACACAATCTTAAAAAATTTGTCCCCTCGCATATACGTATGAGCTTCGACGCGACACAGGCATAAAGATTCGAGACGCGCATGCGCAACGGGCCATTGAACACGTGTAGTCTTCTGTTTATATGGCCTCAGCTGTTGGCTACTATCTTAACCTGTCTCTTCATGAAAAAATTCAGTCATTTCATGATTTGATTGTTTGATTACCGCTTTACCGGTTAATTAATCATTTATTAATCATTTTTTATTTAGTAACTGTAGTGTGATATACAGGGTGTTCGTTATGAAACGCACTGTAGTAACACCGTTGCATTCCTTGTCAAATTCTAATGAATACGTGTATTTTCATTTTTTATTTCATATATCTAAATTTCGAGATAATCAAGGTTGAATTTGCAGTAATGCGACCAATCAGAACGCGTTTAAACGGAGCGTAGATGACGTCGCGAGCCAGCCCGCAAGGCCTGTTTGCACTAGGCCAATAACACTAAGAGTATCATCGTAGTGTCTCTGTTTATCTGCATGTAATTGAGTAAGATACAATCGCTTGCTGTAACGTTCATTTATGTCAAAGAATGCTCCATGAATTTGCTACATAGGTACTTTATATTTAATAATTATAATTGTCTGTCGAAAGGACTTCAGTTGATTGAAATAGACAGTTTGTCTGAATGAATTCATTCAAAATAGACAGGTTATCATATTTAAAGAATTAACGCTATGAAATGTCTAGATGGTTAACTTGTAGAGCATACTTAAAAAAACTGAGTGAGCTTTACCACATTAAAATAGGTAGAGAATTACAGACTTCTTGCAAAATCTATTGCTACTTTAAAGTTTTTCTGGGACACTGGCACACCAAGTTTTTTGTAGAGAAACATGTACGTCTATTAAGCATCTACCTAGGAGATTGTAATGTACGGGAAAGGTCTTAAGAAACCTGCGAACAAATCGGCTCCCTTGACCACAACCAAAAGCCTTTATTTCCTCCGATTTATCATTGACGGAGACCGTGTGTGCTTGAGCCTCGAATTCAATGACTGACTCGTTCGCACGCTCTTACATTTGTCGTGCCCTCTCGCCGGGCCGTGCCTCACACATACCAGTACACCACAGGATTTTTGCTTGGCTAATTTATTGGATTTGATTTAATATTTTTGCTTGTTTATTTCTTATGAAATGGCTACACTTTTAATACTTGGCGTAACCATTTTGTTTTGAAAAAACATTTTTGGTGTTATTTAATTAAAATGACAGGTGATAGGTAATGACAATTTCACGCATGAAAATATTGGCGGGGCAATTGTTTTTTTCACATAAGCCGTTACGGTGCACGGAACGGGGCATGCTTGATGTTACTCATCACGTTCCGTGCTCCGTAAAATACGTAATGACCCCAGCAACCGCTTCCGTATAGTTGCTATGTCCGAGAAGTAGCCAAAATCGTAGAGATTTAGTAAACGCTCGGTTTTAAAAACGATTTTCTCCTTCTTAGTTGCAGGATCCAATGGAATTTTGCAAAAAAATCGTTTGATAGTTGCGAATTAATTAATAAAAACGTTTGATAGTCCTTGATAGTCTTGTAGAAACGTTTAGTAGTCAATAGTTTTTTCAGAAGAGCCAAATCGATGTACGATGTGAAGTTGGCTATCGTTTCCTTGCTTCTTGTCCATAATCAGCTTTTTCAAGACACGTAATAAGCCAGATTTTAGGCATTACTATAATTACATATTAGTCTTAAGTCAGCAATTGTTGTCATAAGTTATTTTTACAAGCAACCAGAACTGTACTTCCCGATGATTCTTTAGTAGGTAAACAGGAACACAGTCATAATACTGTAAGTTTATATCGGAACATAGGCATGGACGCCTATATGACGTCAGCTTTCATGGCTTTTCAGAATGGCTCAATAGAAGTCTATAAACAATGCATTGTTGTCACCCTATGGCAAACTCGGGCATGCAACATTACTTGTATAGCAGTGCGGTGATTGGTTGAAACGGTATTTAGACACGTTTTAACCAATTAGCGTCTGCTGACAGTTGTGCAACGATGTATGCATGGGTTTACACCAGTAGTACATTATGATTGTACTAGAATGGAGGATACGCATAGCATATGGCTTTTCTCGTTTTTCTTGCAAACGAAGGACTATCAAAGGTTTTTATTAATTAATTCGCAACTATCAAACGATATATGTCCATTCGTGGAAGCTTTTTCACGTGCGGCGGAGCACTGTAGGTGTGTTCGAGAATGAGCCGAGAGCGGAGAGGACATCGTTGTTTTTCTGTTCATTGGATGCATTTGATCGCGACAGTGATATCTGAAAGAAACTATTGACTATCAAACGTTTTTACAAGACTATCAAACACTATCGAACGACTATCAAACGATTGGAAGTAGAAAAAGTTTGTTATATTGTCTAAGTCAATGGACACACTGATCGAAGAATCGATTGTATCGTATCGATTGGGATTCTTGATTCGCATATGGGTTTTCTCATTTTTCTTGCAAACGATGGACTATCAAACGTTTTTATTAATGATTTCGCAACTATCAAACGATTTTGCATCGATTGAGCTCCAGAAAAACAAAATCCGGTTAGAAACAAAAAAGTGCCGGCCAACTTCACACCAGATTTTGATTTTGATTTTCTGAAAAGACTAATGACTATCAAATGTTTTTACAAGACTATCAAACACTATCAAACGACTATCAAACGATTGGAATAAAGAAAAGTTTAAAAAATAAAAGTTGGCCGGCAAACTTCACGCAGGTGCAGTGGTACCATCTTCCGGTGCATTCGCAACGTTTGCATTCCAGTCGGTAACTGTACGGCTGTTCAAGATAAACAGATTATCTCATACCAGACTCGTTGAAATACTTTTATGTATATTCTATTTATCTTTAGTTGGCGATGATACATGCTATAAACTGTTTTACCGACTGATAATAATAGCACAACAGAGAACCAGCAGATGCTACTCAGTTTCCCATGAAATTCAATAGAGTGCCTGAGGTACATTGTCACTGACTACGTTTACACGACTATCTTAAACCGGTTTAGTTAATACTAATCTAAGGGAATAGAAAAGTCATAGACATTTCTATTTGTAAGGAATTTTTGGGATTGGCCACTTCCTTTAGATCAGTATTAACTAAGCTGGTTTAAGAACGCAGTGTAAATGGTAGAATAAAAAGTTGACAAAACTGTACAAACACAGAATGCAAATATTCACTCTGAACAAATTCGCAATCAATGAAAGACTTCATTAGCGTCGGGGCCAGTACGTGAAATAAGTCGAATTATTTAAATTACATACGGTGTTGCCAATTTTAAGTTCAATATTATCCCGTTTTTTTTTTTCAGAATAGATAATGAAAATATTTCCATTGCATATTATTAGAGTTCTATTTATTAGATACATATAAAGAGTTCTCACGTTAGAAATTTGACGCCTACTTATACCGCTGGCATCTTTGACAAAATTCATCCCTATTTCCAGGGTACAACAAAGGGGTATTTCTCGAGAGACGCAAAGCAACATGTCAGGACTTACACCCTTCGTTCCTTCCATACTTCCTACGCCCTTGCCTTGACTAATCACTGGATAATGGACGGATTTATATTCGCAGAAGGGGGTAGGCAACCACCCTCCGCAATGGCTAAACGTCATCTTGTCACTACTTCCAGCCTTCCACACCCCTGTGACTAAGTCAAGTTTCTTAATTAAGGATCCCACCCTTCTTACTTCCCTGAACCAGCAGCCACGACAATATCCCAGGGCTATAACTTGCTAGGTTACGATTTCGTTATAACAAAAAAGTGCCGACAAAATATCTAAAATAATGTAAAATATTTAAATTCATTTTAAACGAAACCATAGCAGCATTTTAAATATTGGCTAAAAATTATCAGGCTTGATCGCCATTAAGATTTATCCCATAGTAATATCCCCGTATAAACGTAACTCCCTGTAGCACGTACATACCCAAAACATACAGCAAAATCTCAGATCTAGGGATAAATGGCCGCGCAGTAACTCCTTCATAAATCCTCTTCGGGACATTCCGAGTTTAGCAACTTGTATCTCGGCTGTTCTTGCACTAATAAATATCCCAGTAGAATTCCAGCATATCCTGTAGAACAATCATCAGAATTCGAATAACGATAACGTAGCCATTTACTAGCGACATTAATAATACTTAAAAAAA